CTATCTATCTTTATCTTATCTTTCTATCCATCTTTTAAACTAACTCTTCCGGTTTACTATTATCCATCGATCCAACAAAAGTTTAAATATTATATTTGCTGATTACTAAAGTTCAGGTATAACTTTACTAAAATTTTAATTCAATCCCGGTTTGGTCAGTAATATTAACAATCTTTAAACTAACAAAGTTTTGTTTTTAAGCTTTTTCATTTTTAGCGAATCCAATGACGAAAAAGTAAATAAAAGAAAAAGAGAAAAATTTATGTTTATGGAGAAAAGGACCAAACTGTTAAATCATCGTGACTTATGTTTGGTTAGGTAATCAAATCAAATCAAATCAAATCAAATCAAATCAAATCAGTATATTATTATTATCCAACCCGAGTCGAAAACTGAAGTGACTTGTATACTAAAATGGTAATAAGTACATAGTATAATAAATTAAAGAAATATTCACAACAATTATTAATAAATAAGTATAGTAAATATTTGATCACAATTATATCAGTTAAAACGATTACAAAACGATTGAATGAAAGTACAAATAATATAATACTTAATACTACTGTAGGGGGCTTCCCTCTTTCTTGTAATAATTTTAGCTCTCAAATGTCACCTTGCGTGGAAAAAAAATGTTATCAAAAATGGCAATGTAAAATTTCGCAGATTTTTCAATTTGTATCGATGGACTTCAAATAATCTATCAAAATTTTGCATACTAAAGGAATGGAGTCTTTACCATACGCTTAAATTTTCTAATTCCCGTATCTTTGCAGTCTGATGGTGTAGACCTACAACATTTCAAACCTAGGTTGTTTGATTTAACAGAATTATGGCTTGAAATATCTCATGTCTACAACATAGGGTTGAATAGATAAAAGGATTTTAACTCAATTCCTTTTTACCACGAGAAACTGTGTAGTCGTTTTCCCATCTATTCAATACAAACAAACACTAAAAGATAAAGTGCAAATATATCAGTAGATATATTTTGTTTAATTGCTATGTAGAGTGAGAATATTCAATGTGAAGTCTAATTGACCAAGAGAATGTAATTGTTTATAAATTACCGTTAAGGATGGTTTACCGTTTACTCAAATTAAATCGTTTAAAGGGACTGTAAATTGATTTCAAGTGACCGTTCTTTTATAAAGTGAAAAGCTTTGCATGATGAAAAAAAAATGAAAAAGGATGCGATGGAAAGAAGTTTCCATAATTGAATACTTTTAAATCTAGAAAAATGACGATTTCCTTCTGGTTTGGTTTAATGTTCACATGGGTAATGGCGATTTCCACCTGGTTTGGTTTAATGTTTACAGTGTACTGTTGGGAATCGAAAATTCCACATTTTAGTCGAGGTTTCGTTATATTTAGGTCTGCAGTCCCTTTAAATGATTTTATGATATTCTTGAATAGGAAGATAAAATAACAATGATGTCTGAAATCTAAATATTTTGGTCGCGACACATATTTACAGTTTTGGGAAGGGAGTGGGAGAAGGAGGAAGGGGGGGGTGTCAGGGGGGGGTTATAAATTATACAAGACATAGGTGACTTAGATGGTCTTCTGAACTATGAACCTTTTACAGCTATCAGGCGGAACTTTTAGAGGGGAGGGGGGACAATTTCGATTTAACAAAGAAAGTACATTTCAGTTCAGCAGGCCGCATCTTGAGGGCGGTCAAGGGTTCCATATTGGATCTCTTTCAGATATATATAAGTATAAGAATCATAAAGATTAAGAATCATAAAGTATAGGAATAATAAAGAATTAAGATTAAGAATAAAGATTAAGAATCATAGAGATTAAGAATCATAAAGATTAAGAATCATAAAGATTAAGAATCATAAAGATTATGAATCATAAAGTATAAGAATCATAAAGATTAAGAATGAAGATTAAGAATCATAAAGTATAAGAATAATAAATATTAAGAAACATAAAGATTAAGAATCATAAAGATTAAGAATCATAAAGATTAAGAATCATAACGATTAAGAATAATAGAGATTAAGAATCATAAAGATTAAGATTCATAGAGATTAAGAATCATAAAGATTAAGAATCATAGAGATTAAGAATCATAAAGATTATGAATCATAAAGTATAAGAAGCATGAAGATTAAGAATCATGAAGATTAAGAATCATAAATTAAAGTATAAGAATAATAAAGATTAAGAAACATAAAGATTAACAATCATAAAGATTATGAATCATAAAGTATAAGAATCATGAAGATTAAGAATCATAAAATTAAGCATAAGAATAATAAAGATTAAGAAACATAAAGATTAAGAATCATAAAGATTAAGAATCATAAAGTATATGAATAATAAAGAATTTAGATTAGAAATAAAGATTAAGAATCATAACGATTAAGAATCATAAAGATTAAGAATCATAATGATTAAGAATCATAAAGACCTTACTTAATGCAAAATTAATTTTTCATCGTAATAGAGATTAAGATTCATAAAGTATAAGAATAATAAAGATTAAGAATCATAAAGATTAAGAATCATAAAGATTAAGAATCATTAAGACCTTACTTAATGCAAAATTAATTTTTCATAGTATTGTGTTGTATATCCTAGGTTTGGTTTGTATATCCTAGGTTTGGTTTGTATATCCTAGGCTTGGTTTGTATATCCTAGGTTTGGTTTGTATATCCTAGGTTTGGTTTGTATATGTTAGGTTAGGTTTGCATATCCTAGGTTTTGTTTGTGTATCCTATATTTTGTTTGTGTATCCTAGGTTTGGTTTGTATATCCTAGGTTTGGTTTGTATATCCTAGGTTAGGTTTGTTTATTTATCCTAGGTTAGGTTTGTATATCCTAGGTTTCGTTTGTATATCCTAGGTTTGGTTTGTATATCCTAGGTTTGGTTTGTTTATCCTAGGTTTGGTTTGTTTATGTTAGGTTAGGTTTGTATATCCTAGGTTGGGTTTGTTTATCCTGGGTTTGTTCAGTTATGTTTAAGTTCCGTTGCAATGTTGGGGTTTAGTTAGGTTAGGTTGGTTTGGGTGGTTTTGGTGGTAAATCAATATGTTGCCATGCATACATATACTTGAGTCACGTTATGACTTGTGCTCCATTAAATGAAAAAGGGTAATATCAACATACATTAATATTAATACGATTTTCACTGTCAGAAACTCTTCTAGGTCAGATTTGGTCAAAATGCACTAGATGCAATACCTGCAGGCCCAATTATGCAGTTCAGGGGTTGTTGCAAGAAGTGACATTCTGAGCTCATATTTTGCAGGGATGAATAGTCATCGTAGTAATCATTGGAGTTACCCATCTCGACCCTGAAATAAATGGCGAGAAAATAATGTATAGTTGAGTTTATATTTACTGGCATCCCAAAAGATGGAAAATCAGGAGAATATTCCAAAATATCACAGCAACATTTAATTGTACAACCTTTGTAAGTTATTTGAATTTTTACAGTATAAATGCCTCTGAATAATATAAACTGGTAAAATAATACTTATACCTTGAAAATTAAGATTAAAAGATAAGAAACACCAGAAACACAAGAACTGTATGGCAACTATAATGCCCAATAATAAAATTGGTCTGTAAAATGGATTGTTTAATTTAAGAAGATGAAACAGTTACGTAATTTTAATAGTATCATAATAAACACCAGATTGCTATCATTAATATGTATTCAAGTATTCTCCTGTTAGCGTTTTCAATTTTTAGTTTTAGTGTCATTTTCACCCCTACTCTACATATTACAATTTTGCGGATTGGAATCCGACAATTTTTTTACAGTGCTGTAAGGTCAATGCCCAAAGAAACTCTAACCTTGGTTTTTGTTTCAGCTTCTCATACGATCATTCCAGGAACTATATAGGAATAGGAGGGATACACAGACAGACAGACAAACAGATAGTTTTTTAAGATATCAGACATAATCAAGAATGGGAGGGGAGGAGGATTGTAAAAAAAGTGCTCGTAAGTTTTAAGATAAAAACAGTATGGCGAGATTAAAACTAGATTTAGATTGTAAATGTTCTCAATAAAAAATTAAAAATCTGCGAATTTTTTATTGTGTTTAAAAATATTAGTCGCAGGTGAAGCAACACAGAACAATATAATTTTGCTAGAAAGATGGTGCGAAGCGCCCTAAAAGACCAAACAAAGAGAACAGATGTACCTGCAGGTGACTTCAACGGTGAGAATGGTGGTATCGTATTTAAGAACTAGGACAAGAACGTTGTTGCAACAAAAACTTTTGTTTCCTGTTTCGAAATAGCGTTTATAAATTATCTCTGATCCGGTTTAAAGATAGTTGGTTGTAGTGCAGGGAATTATTTTCAAAACAATTGAGAAAAAACAATAGGTTTTTGTTTCGTTTTGAATATTTTAAAACTTGTTTCTAGATTAAACGAAGCAGTTAAACTTATTTTTTAAGCTTTTAAAAACGAACAGACAAGTTCACAGTTTTGAAGAAAAAACTATACATTTTGTCAAAGTTTTAAAAGTAAAATTAGGTAGAATTATTCTAAAGCAAAGTTTACGAATGTTGTCTCGGATTATAAGGTTTTAAACTATCGTTTTGTTTTTGTATTTTTCATTTCAAAAACAATTTTTTTCGTTTTAATTTATTATTTTTGATCATTTAGGAAACTATCAAATTCCTTTCTCAAAATTTTGAAAATAATAATTGCAACTATCTCTGCGCACAAACAAAAAGAAATTAAGTATTTGCCACAAACTTTGATTTTCTAATTACTATATATTTGCAGCCCAATGTCGTATACCTTAGGTATTTCAATCTATGAATTCTGTGGGATCAAATAATGTAAATTATAAATTTCGAGGGTTCAAACCATCAGGTTGGAAAGATAAAGGTATTATAAAATATTGGTTTGCGGCAACGACTCAATTTATTTTGATATGGCTGCGAAAATCAAAGTGTACCTGGAACGAAGAAAAAGATTGTTTAGACAAGTGTCAACACCTTTAATTTATCTTCTTCTTTCAGATCTCTAAAATTGTGAAACCTTTGTATGTAATTTTGCTGACAATAGTTTGAATTGGAATTTAAAAATGGCGCCTGCAGCTGATGTGTCAGGACCTACAACCTCATCTCTACTCTCAGCACAACCTCTGGTAACCCCCCCCCCCCCATCCCGCACAATGGGGTATCAGGTGGAGGGAGGGGGGGTGTGCAATATTGAGTTTACATTATAAACCTCTTATTCGAGCCAAAGAATTAGACTCGGTCGCGTGAGTGTTTTTTTGAGAGTATCTGAGTTATAGTGATTTTGTGTTGAAATTCTGAAATCGGAGGAAAAACTGATAATATCCGTGAAAACTTTTAAAATGGGTATTTTAAACAAGAATCAGAGACCATACTAATACTTTGGCGGGCTACCGACGCCCCCACATATTTAAATAATGGTTGTTAGCATTTATTTGTATATCTAGATTATCCTGAGTCCGTTGTAATTGTGTAAAAAAAAACTATAAAGTATATGGTTTTTCCCGAAATAGTTTGGTTTCACAAAGACGACATTCTAGATATATGGCGGGTTTACAGGATCCATTTAAGGATAAATATATAAACGGAAAAAGTAATTATAAATTGAAATCATTATAAATCAATGCCAGCTACAATTAATACAATGTAAATGTATCAGAATATATTTATTTTGTTTATTCTCACCATTAAACGCCAGATAAATGCAAATTAAGAGGAGTTTTTTTTTACAAAAACCAGTCACCCCCCCTGACCCCCTAAAATACCCCACCGTTTCCACCCCCCTGCCACCTCTAACTGTTTTGATCATTTGCAAACCCTTCTATTTAACGGATAAGAAAACGTATCATCCGTTCAATGTAAAGAGTATCCCAATTTTATTGTTTATGTTATTTTTAAGGGTTTTAGACCTAGTTGCGTGGCTTTGAGTTGTACATTGAAACCAGATTGCTTTTGGGCTAAATGTTAAATTTAAGATCGATAGATATTTTACCAAAAAAATCCTTTAATTTGCCAGTGTATCTTTATATCTGTCACACAGCTGCAACCCGCTAATGTTGTACAGTACGGTACTAGTTTATTAGAAATCTTATATCAGGAATGTGTTTTAAGGAATTCATTGTAGGAGAATTTTTATAGATCTATTATTGCAAAAACTTGTTTTTTGCAGTACACTGTACAACGTTGTACAGAATAAAAATAAAAACAGTTGTATACCAAGTAGCGTACCGTACTGGAAAACAGATCCGTATCATAATTATAAGCAAAAAATGCGCTTTATCACACATTTATCCTAATTTTCTAGAAAACTAATAAACATTTTTTTCTAATCTTAGATGGATTTGTATATGGATATGGAGGACATAGAGAAGGATATGGAGGAAATTGGAGAAACAGAAGAGGTCAGATTTTTTAAATACTTAAAAAAAATTTTTTCAAAAACTATCACTGGTAACAATTATGTAATTATTGTTATTATTATCAGTTGTGAAAACAAAGTTACACTAATTCTAAAAGTTTTAATAAATAAATTAAAAAGAAACACTATTTACTTTTTTGACAAACTGGTTTGAATCATTATGGTAAAAAATATTATGCTCAAATAAAAATAAATAATCAAATAGATAAATTTTTTTTTATAAAACAAATTACCCTGTTAAACTGTTGTAAATATGGTCAACAAGATCTTATTATTTCACCCTGTCTTCATCTCGTCTAGTTTTGATTAAAAACAATTGTTAACATATTTCACTGCTAGGTTCGGGAAAAATCTTTAAATAGTATGAGGGCGTGGTTACGTGGTCACGCCGCCATTAGAAACTGTAGAGAAGATCGAGCCTTTCTTCTTAGATTCCTTAGATTTCAGAAGCATCAGGTGTCAATCTTTTTTAATAAATATTCTTAAGTTTCTTCGTTTTTCACTAACTCTGTTGATTTTGCTTTTCATTATTTGATATAAGACAAGTACACAAACGTTTCATAAAATTACCTATAACACTATTGTTTTGGCAGGACGTGCTATAAAGTTGTTGGACTTAAATTTTCTCTAACTCTCGAAGGTTCTCGTCTTTTTAGATTGTATTTGAACTTTCTCGATAAAGAGAAAATTTCTGTCCAAAAACTTTATAACACTGCGAACCAAAATAACAGTGTTATAAATAGTTATACTACCATTCAATTTTGGGAAGCACTGTTTATTTAATACAAGTCGTCTTTATTTTCCACTTTATTTTGGAGAGCACTGTATATTTATAAGAAGTCGTCTTCATTTTCCATATTATTTTGGAGAGCATTGGATATTTTGAAAAGTCGCCAATACTTACCATTTTATTTTGGAGAGCACTGTATATTTATGAGAAGTTGTCTTCATTTACCATTTTATCATGTATGATTAAGGTGAAGAAAAAGTTACAATTCTTTTTATAACCCAAATAGTCCATGAATAAAATTCCCCCCCCCCCTCAGCGAAATTTTGGTTTATTTTCAAATCCCTTTTCCACGTACTGCACCTAATAACAATGATCAGTGTAGTTGATTAACCTAAATACATACGTCACAATCTAGCGTACATTTTCCTCCATTTGTCCTGACGGATTCTCCCTCTTATATACTTTACTTATTTATTAAATTCTTAGAGATCCGTGATTTTAAGATATTTAATCTTTTAAGCTTCAAATAAGTAATACTTGTTCTATTCTTTTTTCCTTAAATCATCTTTTGCTGTTTTAATTTTGCCTTTTTCATATTTCTCGTTAATTGGAATCAATGTTTAGGTTTTAAAAAGTTGTTCAGTTCTAGAAAGCTATCTTAGGATGAGGTAAAAACGAAAATTTGATTTTTAATTTTTAATTTTTATTTATATGATTTTTTTAGGAAAAATCACCCGCACTGGTTTCAAAACCTGGATGTTAGAGATGAGAAGTTAAAAGAACTAGTGAACAGGTGGGATGAACACACATTTTCAGAGTTTGGTTTATCTCACAAAATACATCAGAGGGTTTATCCTTTTTTCAGATTTTTTTTTACAACGGAATTAAATCTTTGCCACAAACTCGATTTTCTAACTTTCAAATAGATTAGAAAAAGATTAGAAAATGTGAGTTTTTAGCAAAAAATCAGTTTCTTTGCTTTTATTATATATCTAGCTTGGGAACCCAGCGTTGCACAGGCGGTCATAGTTAGTCCCACTGATTACCCGCGCTTTGTCTTAAATTACTATTTTACCTTTTTTTCGATCCACTCAACTTAAAATCCCTAAACCAAGGCTATAACATTCCCGTGGTCCTCCCGAGTTTCCAAATCAAAATTTAAGGCAAATTGTATATATTCAGACTTAATGAGTACAAATTGAGTACGGTTTAGGTTTTGAGAATTCAAACCTGAAATAAAGAATACATCTCTGATCCTAGTTGTTTTTGTCTAGATATAAACTTTCTGTACAAATCTTTTAGTCGGGGAACCTAGTCGGACATTTTAAACATTTGGAGGATTTTAGTTTGGGCAAAACTGGCAGACTGGAGATTCCATGTTGGGATCTTTTACGATCATTTATTTAATTAATTACAATTACATACTATCGATGAACACGGTCGTTATATTGAGGTTTGTTCTTTATGGAGTATTATTACAGTTAAAGTATTGAGAAGTACATGTGACGATGTGAATCGTAATCTGATTTAATATTTATCCAAGATATTTGTTCGTGATAATTTCTTAATGAACAACAGCACGACAGGTCGTAACTTCTGACATTCCGTTGTTAGAGTTACCCTATATTTCAAATCTAGAGTTACCCTATAATTCAAATCTAGAGTTACCCTATATTTAAAATCTAGAGTTACCCTATATTTAAAATCTATAGTTACCCTATATTTAAAATCTAGAGTTACCCTATATTTAAAATCTAGAGTTACCCTATATTTAAAATCTATAGTTACCCTATATTTAAAATCTACAGTTACCCTATATTAAAATCTAGAGTTACCCTATATTTAAAATCTAGAGTTACCCTATATTTAAAATCAAGAGTTACCCTATATTTAAAATCTAGAGTTACCCTATATTTAAAATCAAGAGTTACCCTATATTTAAAACGTTTGATTAACAACGGCGCATTTTAAAGATATCACAATTTTTCTTAGAACTCCAGGAATAGGTTTATATTAAGTAAACCCGTGTGATTACAAGTTATATACTTTGAGAAAGGGAAAAAATGTATAAAGAGGACTGCCTTGTTTTAATCATTTTTAAAGGACCACTTTTAGTTTTGTCTACAGTTCCTACATAATAGATAAATATTTCAGTGGATATGTGTTTGCCCTCCCAGGGAAGGATTCTGAAGGAAGAAGGATAGTTTTCAGTGTTGCTAGAGTCCTTGACCCTTCAAGGAATACTGTGCATAAACTTAATAATACTGTACATAACCTGTATAATACTGTACACAAACTTAATAGTACTGTACATAAACTTAATAGTACTGTACATAAACTTTATAATACTGTACATAAACTTAATAGTACTGTACACAACCTTTATAATACTGTGCATAAACTTAATAGTACTGTACATAAACTTAATAATACTGTACATAAACTTGATAATAATGTACATATACACTTTAAAATACTGAAAATACACTTTAGAATATTGTACATACCCTTAATAATACTGTACATAGCCTTTATAATACTGTATATAAATTTAAAATACTGTACATAAACTTTATAATACAACAACTGTACAATCTTCCATTCAATCAATAAAACCCTTCATCAATTTTTTCGCTACTGTTTAATATAGAATGGGCAATAGGCATACATCAGAGCCTAAAATTTAAGAATTTCGCCATAAAACCCAGTATCGGAACCCGGGTTTTGTTAATGGGTTAAGACTATTTTAGATATCTATTTTTTTTTGTTTTGAAAAATTATTTCAAATGATAAGTCATTTTTTAACTCTTTGATTAATATCTACACAAATGTCTGGTCTTAAAAAGATACTCGGGATTTTTATTCGCATGTTCGCATCAGTAATAACGATTAAATTATTCCAATAATTTCACATCAATTATCGTACAACGATAACGGATAGATATTTGTATTAACATAACGGAAATATTAGAGTTTAAAAGCAAAATGAGCACCAACTGTTGAAAAAATCCAAAAGAAGACTACCGTTAATAAATGAAAGTTTTTTATACGACCATACATAAACTGTACAAAAACTGTACATGAACTGTACTGTATCTGCAGACATACAAACAGTGATGCAATGAGAGCTCATCTACTTACATTTGAGGTAAATAAAATATATTAATCTACTGGTAAAGATGGTTTAACTAGTTAACCCTATTCCCGCTGGGGGGGGGGGTCAATTTGACCCCCCCCCTGTAGTTTTTTTTACATAACCCAAAAAGTATTGGTCTGAGGCTGTTGAAATTTTCTGACTTTTCTTACATACCCAAAGCCCTCCCTTTAGGCCTAAAACCGGGCTTTAATACTAACTGCCTGAGTCCTCAGACCCCCCCCCAGCGTATCCTGGTTTTCAAGTTCCCCAGCAGGGATAGGGTTAAAAATGCTAATATTGCGGACCAAATTGGTAAAAAAAGGAAAGCGGAGCCAAATCAGCCCAAAAACGTCCAATCAGCGAAACCAAATGGGTTTAAAACTCACCGGCATTTTTTGTACAATGAAGAAATATTCTGGTTTTACATATTTTGAAAACATGAATTTCGAATAAAAAAGTATTAAAAAAATCAATCACCGGAAGCCGAAGCCGTGTTTAATGTTTATGGTTAATATCAACTAATAAACAAAACTGTAACATGAGTCCTACAAAAGCCCGACATAAGATAATAGCCAGCCAAATTCATTTTGCACAACACAAAGAATTGTAATTTGTTCAACAATATTATATCTTCAGATTTGAATAGATTTATATTTACAAATTTGATTTTACGATATCAGAGCATTAATACTAAGAAAATATATTAGATTAGTATTTTTGGCCAAAACTTTATCGAAACTGAGCTGAAAACTTTAGAATGTGATATCCTTAATCCCGATCTGTTAATTAATCTGCAGATTAAGTTCATGAGGAGTATAAGCAATATTTAATCTGGAGATTAAGAAAAAGAGTGGATTAAGCATTAATCCTGATATCCACCATTCTAAAGTTTTCAGCTCTGAGCTTGGAACTTTAGAATGGATAACCATTAATCAAAACTACTTAATCCGAATATCCACTGTAGAAACTTTTAATTTTAGTCCTTAATTCACTCTTTTTCTCTCTCTTTGGATATCCGTACATTGTTTTATTCAATGAAAGTGCAGTATTATAGTTCGTAAATTGTATTGACCAATGACAGCCTTGGAAATAAATTATATTCCATGAAGGAAATCCACAATTGCTAACAAATTAAGAATTTGTTGTCGGCCATTTTGTAAATTAATAGATGAAAAAAAATATTTAAAAATACGTTTAAGATTTTTTTTACCAATTTACCTAATGTATTAATAAAGAAATGGGTGAGAAATTAAGTAAACGCCCTTCCAGTCAAGAAAACCAACAAATCTGACGTTCCTAGAATCAAACTTATTAATCTAAATATTTAATCTCGAGACAAACATAATCTCGAGATTATGTTAGTCTCGAGATCAGCAAAAACTGATGATTAAGCATTAATCCTGATATCCACCTTCTAAAGTTCCCAGCTCTGAACTCTGAAGGGGGCTTCAGGCATAATGACAAGTGACTCCATGATTGATTAAACAGGGAACATTTAAACTTACACATACAGTCCGTTTTCTCAACTCCCGTACCATGATATCAAATCACAAATTTTGTTCCTTTAGTTAGGTGTCCCCTCGCCCTTTTTTACACTATCAGCCCCCCCCCCCTTTTATTTGTATTTTAACCCCTGTAAAAAATTGATCCTGATCCTATTCATCATCTGTTTTATTTATGTATTTTAGTCTACTCCTTTTTAATGGTTCTTGACTGATCTATGGTTTGTATATATGGGGAGATCTTTAGATAAATCTTATTATCAATCATAAAATATCTATGTAATAGATCTATAGATAGACATATTTAAAGATTTGGGGAGTTTATATACATATATTAATCAGGTCAAATATACTTTCATAAACTTTTCAAATCAAGAATAAATGAAAATAAAAATAAAAATAAAATATTTACATGATCAAGGTTTGGTTTATAGGACTATTTTGAGAATTATTATCTAATCGTGCTCTAAAACTATTGATGTCTGGGAAATGATAAATGTTGTCCAGACTTTTATAAATTACAGTTGGAATGGGATTTGAACTATAGTCGACGCATAATTATCATTTTGAAAAGACAAGGCAGACAACTTGAGATGAGAACAGAGGAGGTGAATGGGGGAAATGTAGAAGGGGGGGGGGGGGGAATTGGGGGAAATGTAGAAGGGAGGGGAGGTGAATGGGGGAAATGGAGAAGGGGGGTGGGTGATATAATCAGGAAGTGGCTTATAGAGAAAAAGGGATTAAACCAGACCTTTTTAAAACTTATGATAATTTGAAATACATTAAAAAATATTTTGAACAATTTGAAATGTTTTGTTAAGTTATTTTTTCAGAATGCTTATCTTTTAACCTTAATTTTTTATTTACTCAGTTATCACATAAGTGATTTTACACCCAGTTTATTAAGGCCAAAAAGGTTTCCAAAATCACATGAATCTTTGTCTTAGAAAAAGGAATTTTTTATTCAAACATTTGTAGTTTTCTAAGGGTATGCATGATATTGTTTTAGTAGTTTTCACTTCTTTAGACAACTATATTTCTTTCAGGCTTTGTTAGAAGAAGAGGAAACTCAACTCAGAGGATTCACATATATTTTCGACTGTTCTGCCCTATCCTTGTCATATATTAGTATATGGTCCCCTACAGGTATATATATATATTTTCGACTGTTCTACCCTATCCTTGTCATATATTAGTATATGGTCCCCTTCAGATATATATATATATATATATTTGACTGTTCTGCCCTATCCTTGTCATATGTATATGGTCCCCTACAGGTATATACATATTTTCAACTGTTCTGCCCTATCCTTGTCATAAATTAGTATATGGTCCCCTACAGGTATATGTATATATATATATTTTCGACTGTTCTGCCCTATCCTTGTCATATATTAGTATATGGTCCCCTACAGGTATACATATATTTTCGACTGTTCTGCCCTATCCTTGTCATATGTATATGGTCCCCTACAGGTATATACATATTTTCGACTGTTCTGCCCTATCCTTGTCGTATATTAGTATATGGTCCCCTACAGGTAAATATATATTTTCGACTATTCTTCCCTATCCATCATATATTAGTATATGGTCCCCTACAGGTATATATATAAATATTTGACTATTCTGCCCTATCTTTGTCATATATTAGAATATAGTCCCCTACAGGTATATATATATATATATTCGACTGTTCTGCCCTATCCTTGTCATATAGTAGTATATGGTCCCCTACAGGTATATATATATATATATTTGATTGTTCTGCCCTATCCTTGTCATATATTAGTATATGGTCCCCTACAGGTATATATATATATTTTCGACTGTTCTACCCTATCCTTGTCATATATTAGTATATGGTCCCCTTCAGATATATATATATATATATATTTGACTGTTCTGCCCTATCCTTGTCATATGTATATGGTCCCCTACAGGTATATACATATTTTCAACTGTTCTGCCCTATCCTTGTCATAAATTAGTATATGGTCCCCTACAGGTATATGTATATATATATATTTTCGACTGTTCTGCCCTATCCTTGTCATATATTAGTATATGGTCCCCTACAGGTATATATATATATATTCGACTGTTCTACCCTATCCTTGTCATATATTAGTATATGGTCCCCTTCAGATATATATATATATATATATTTGACTGTTCTGCCCTATCCTTGTCATATGTATATGGTCCCCTACAGGTATATACATATTTTCGACTGTTCTGCCCTATCCTTGTCGTATATTAGTATATGGTCCCCTACAGGTAAATATATATTTTCGACTATTCTTCCCTATCCATCATATATTAGTATATGGTCCCCTACAGGTATATATATAAATATTTGACTATTCTGCCCTATCTTTGTCATATATTAGAATATAGTCCCCTACAGGTATATATATATATATATTCGACTGTTCTGCCCTATCCTTGTCATATAGTAGTATATGGTCCCCTACAGGTATATATATATATATATATTTGATTGTTCTGCCCTATCCTTGTCATATATTAGTATATGGTCCCCTACAGGTATATATATATATATTTTCGATTGTTATGCCCTATCCTTGTCATATATTAGTATATGGTTCCCTACAGGTATATATATATTTTCGACTGTACTGCCCTATCCTTTCATATATTAGTATATGGTCCCCTACAGGTATATATTTATATATATTTTCGACTGTTCTGTCCTTTCCTTGTCATATATTAGTATATGGTTCCCTACAGGTATATATATATATATTTGACTGTATAGGGTCCCTTATATGACGGAGAAATGAAGCTTCTTTACTCCGAGCTAGTAGGACGGAGAAATTAAGCTTTATTGCTCCGTGCTAATAGGACAGAGAAATTAACATCTTTGCTCCGAGCTTATAGAACGGAGAATTGAAACTTCTTTGCTCCGAGCTAATAGGACGCAGAAATGAAGCTTCTTTACTGCAAGCTTATAGGACGTAGAAATGAAGCTTCTTTGCTCTGTGCTAATATTACAGAGAAATTAAACTTCTTTGCTCCGAGCTAATAGAACGGAGAAATAAAGCTACTTTGGTCTGAGCTAATAAGACAGAGAAATCAAGCTTTTTTCTCTGAGCTAATAGGACGGAGAAATATATGAAGCTTCTTAGCTTTGAGATAATAGGACAGAGAAATAAAGCCTCTATGCACAGATTTAATAGGACGGAGAAATGAATCTTCTTAGCTTTGAGATAATAGGACGGAGAAATATATGAAGCTTCTTAGCTCCGAGCTAATAGGACGGAGAAATAAAGCTTCTTAGCTTTGAGATAATTGGACAGAGAAATAAAGCCTCTATGCACAGATTTAATAGGACGGAGGAATAAAACTTCTTTGCTCCGAGCTAATGGGACGGAGAAGAAAACATCCTTGCTCCTTTGTAAACTAAGAAACCAAGATGACTGTAACCAGCCTTCTCTGTTCTATTAATATGATTGCGGAATTCTTTTAGTAATATAAAGTAGTAACTTAATTGTTTCATTGAGTAGATACATACAAGTTAGAACAACTGTAACCATTGACTCAGTATATACATTATTTACTTAAATATTACTTTAATTCTTAAAACACAATTGTAACATTTAACATATTTAATGTTTGTTTTGATTGTAGAAGTGACCAAGATGTTTGGTATCTGTGAGAAGAACCTACCGATGAGACATAAGGAAACCAACAAAATTGTATTAAATAATTGAAATGAGTTTGCAAACACTTAAAATTCGTGCTATTGTTTTTTTTTTAAAAACATCATTTTAATGGTTTAGGATATAAATCTTTTATCTCTTCCATTCCCTATGCGAGCAGTATTTGAGTTCTGTAAAGGTTTACTCTCAGATAAAATTAGAAGGTAATAATTTACTTTTAAAGCATGGTTTAGGATTTTTTCCAATGCCATCCTTTTATTTAGGATTTAAAAAAAATTAACATATAAGGCTTATAATGATTAAACATATAATCAATTAGATCACGTTCGTTTACATTTAGGAGGTTTGCAGTACACTCTAGTATAGAGAAACTAGAGATTAAACTGGGGGATTCAGCTTCGTCAATTCTTCCTTTGGAGTATGGAGGTAAAATATATGTAAAATATGTAAACTAAACAGTTTATTATATTTATATTCTTTGAGTCAGAGCGTATGGAGAGTTAAAAACGTACAGAACTCTTAGATCATGTTTACATTTACCTGCAGAATTTATACTTTGAAATATCAATAAAGTTTTGAGGCATCAGTTTGCAAAGATATAAGGCTCAGAATATTAGAGTTTTCGGCAACTTCATATGAAATTGTTTTTATTCGGTGATCTGAACGCAACCAAATATATTTCTAGGCACTGTTCCTTTGGCTCAAATGACTGCACAGTGGGCAGAACATCTAGAAAACTCGAGGAATTATTCATTATTAAAATAATTGCAAAAAAATGTTTTTCGATAAACTGGCGCTTTGACAGCTTAGTGTATCTTTTTTCTAGTTTAAGCTATGCATTTCATTTTAATTTGAATTAAAGGTCGTCTTTGCTGGGTCTAGATTCTATAGTGGTAGAGGATGCTAAGGTATAGTTTTAAACATAAAGTAGTTGATGCCAGAGCCTTAAAACTTAACGAAATTTATGGTTTTGGACATTAAAATCACCTATGAAAAATTTCTGATTAAGTTTGAAAAAACGTTTAGAATTGGGGCCCTGGCATTAACTCCTGTTTTCGTTTCTTTGTAAGAAAGGCAGTAATTTTTATTGTAATCATAAATTAAGGTATATTTTTATATTATTCTTTTCAATATTGCAGATTGCTGTAAAAACCAAGGCTGAGCGAAGTTCAATTTGGAGTTATCTTCCTTCTTTTAGTCAATCAACCTCAGGATCAGTTTAAATCTACCAATAGAAACATGTTCTCTTATTCTTCCAATCAACCTCAGGATCAGTTTAAATCTATCAATAGAAACATGTTCTCTTATTCCTCTAATCAACCTCAGGATCAGTTTAAATCTACCAATAGAAACATGTTCTCCTATTCCTCTAATCAACCTCAGGATCAGTTTAAATCTACCAATAGGAACATGTTCTCTTATTCCTCTAATCAACCTCAGGATCAGTTTAAATCAACCAATAGGAACATGTTCTCTTATTCAACCTCAGGATCAGTTTAAATCAACCAATAGGAACATGTTCTCTTATTACTCTAATCAACCTCAGGATCAGTTTAAATCAACCAATAGGAACATGTTCTCTTATTCCTCTAATCAACCTCAGGATCAGTTTAAATCTACCAATAGAAACATGTTCTCTTATTCTTCCAATCAAACTGAAGACCTTTATAACTAATTGGAACATGTCCAAAATGATATTAGTTATCTTTGATCTTCAGACTCACAAGCTAATAAAGACAATTGTGAAAAGTGAAATGAGATCCAGACTCTAAATTTAGTCAAATGTTAATATGTCAGTTGATTTTACTTGTAGTTGAATTGTTGGGCATTTTATCCTGTTAAGTGTTTAGAACTGATTTCAAAACGTGTAATTGTTAAACCTGATTCAGACTTGTTTTCACCAGTAAAATTTTATATAAGATGGAAACCTTTGAATGAATATAAGTAAGCGCGTTTAAGCAGTACCATGGACGAACTAAACCTTTTTGAAGATTGGATTGTGCCAGCTGATCTCATTTTGGTCAATCCAATTAGATCCTAGCGGATAAATACAGGAAGTTCTTAGCTGGGAATTTATGTGTTGGACTACCTAATCCTGATAGCTTGATCTTGATATCAATTGACAGTGGGCACTTTTGTGTTTTACGCAGAATCTACTTGATCTCTTGATTTAGGATATCCACAATCTCTATTTTCTCATTGGTTGAGAGCAAAATTCCCTGACTTCTGATTGGGTGCTCGTTTTACACAAACGACATTCTATGGAATAAGGAATAAAGAATGAACAATTCTGTAGATTAACAAAAGATCAAGATTATGCATTGATCCCGATATCCACAATAAAAAGTTCCCACCTAGCTCTTCGCTTAATATGTTCCTAGTTCTGTTAATATGTAAACCTATTGATTCTGTTAATATGTAAGCCTATTAATTCTGTTAATATGTAAACCTATTAATTCTGTTAATATGTTTCCAAACCACTTTGTTGATTTTTAACAAGTGGATTGGGATACTAATGGTACAAAATATGGTTATTTTTTACTGTTTTAACCGTATAATGTTTTTCTGCTCATCTACTTCAAGTAAATTTAAAAAGTGCCATGGCAAAAATGTATAAAAATTAAGAAATTTTTTATTTATTCGTGATAAAATGAGCTTGTATAAAGTGACCAATATGGACTTAAAATGAATCCATCGCCTGTCTTCATATAAATCTTAGTCAAAATATGCTTTAAATTCTGATTTTTTTGGGAAAATTAAGCAAGAAACATGTCATAATAAAGTATTTTCTTTTATTGAGTTTGTTTGTGTGAAAACTGTACAAAAAATGATTTTGTATGTACTTAATGTTTGATCAGTATTAAATTCTACTTTAGATTTAAAATAAAATTAGCAATTTCTTAAAAATTAATTATGAGGTATTGTTAAATTTAATTCTTATTTCATTTTTAACAATAGCAACAATTTTTAACAAGTAGAATTTAAGAAAATACTACTTTGGTTGATATAATATAATTTTAGTGACTGAGACTAGATATGCCATTAATTCCTTTGAAATCAGTTTATGTAAAAATGTAAATTTTGTGTAAATTTAATTATGATTAGTAAAAATGAATTTATTGTGTTATTAAATGAACTTATGCAATAAATGGTAGTAACTGAACCAGCGACGAACTTCCTTTTAAAAAAATATCAAAAAATCAAAGATCTACAACATCGAAATTCTAAGATATAGGGATTAAAAATTAGAGTTTGCGGCAAAACTCATTTTTCTTGTTTTAATTTAATGACCCTGCAGTCTGAAATTTACAATTAATATTTACTAACACAGCAATATACTCTTTTATATTTTATTTAATTATTTATGTGTTTGACAAGTTCCATGATAAATACAATGCATGAAACAGATATTCCACTGAGTAAGATAATGTAGGCTAGAAGGAAGTGTTCTAGACCAAGAGCGCTGGGTGGAGTTTGAGTTTTCATCTCTCGAGAAATCCTTCATTTTATTCATTGCTAGATTTATATTACACGGGGTTATACTGAATATATTCAGGTAATATGTACGTACTCAGCATTTATGTACATTAAACATTATTCATTGTTGAAATCAATTTAAATTAAATTTTGTCATGTCGATGACAGCTGTTAAAAACTTTAAAAGTTCATTAGATTACTCGCAAAATATTTTTATTTCTAATAAAGATTTGATAATGCATGTAATCATATTTTAGCATACATTCTGTCTTAATAAATATGATAATTAAAAGACGACTTAAAAATCGTCTTTGATTATTGAAAGCTATTTAATAAATAGAATTTTGCACTTATTGTTTAAAGAATCATAATTTTAAAACTAGGCTCACATATAAGTATATGATGCAAAATATTCTAAACTAAAAAGATAGATTAAAGAGCATTTAATAATCTAGCAAAGTTTCCTAATGAACATGGATTTTATTTTCTTAAAAATTCCGAACTCCCCTGCCAGTCTAAATTTCTCCTCAAGTTCTTCACAGAAATTATTTTTTTTTCTGAAAGATTATTATGGGGTTTCTCAGTTTTTATAATACACTACATTTTTCTGTGTCAGCGTATGTAATCCGAGATAGCTTAAATGAGACTAATAAAATTCTGAAATAGGAAGACGACATTTAAATAATTATATCTGTATTTAATGTTGTTATAAATCAAACAGTTTAACAAGTATAGCTTGAAATGGGTCTGTGATTGATTAGTAATACATATTCTGTTTAATACTGCACAATTTCTGTATTTCATATTTTTGACTTATTTTAAATCAAAACAATTGTATTCTATAAGTCTTAGAGTCTATGTATTGTACGAGATACATTTTAAAAAGTTAATATTTAAATGTTTTGGCGAGATCATTTGTATAAAATAAGATTTTGCAAAAGGGTTCAATTGTTTTCTTAAAAGAATGCAATTATTATTTTTACTCGTTTTACTTTCAGTGATCCTCCATTTGAAAAATTGGAGGTACTTCTTATGGATCATTTGATTATTCTTGCTTTGTATCAAAAAAATGATTATTTTCAAATGCTGTACTTTATGCCAGCTCCTGCAGCAGGGACAAAAGAAAGAAATTTAGAGTTCGGCACGTGTTGAAATATAGAAACAACAATGTCTTCCTCATTGCGTTGAAATTCCCTTGAATGCTTGATATACCTGCATGCGAAGGAAATCCCTTCTCCTCCGTAGATATATGCAACTTTTCCTATTCTAACAATAGGTTCTCCAAAATCTACCAAGTTTCTGTAAACACCATACTGGGCCTGCACACATTTAAATATTATTGATTAGGTTTCAAGGGTACCGTTGTAAATCGAGCATTTTTATTTTTGCATTGAGGATCTCTTGAAATCAGTTTAAACTTACAGATGAAGCAGTGTGTGCACTACAATGAGTCTTGTTTGCATGCCTGTAATCATTTGCTCCACCAACTTCATTTAACCGACCCAGACCTTCTAAGCAACGAATATTTATTTTCTTTTTATCTAAATTAAAAATATGTTTTTTATGAATCATTTTAAAAACCAAGAGTTTTGTAGTAATTTTCATTTTCCGGGGCCCATTGTCGGTCTGATGCAAGTGTGAGAATCAAATTTGATTTGTAAACCAAATCATCCATACTTTCTGAAATATAATTAATAACAAATATATTTATAGATGTGTAGATAAAGTATTGTTTATTATTGTTTATTAATAACGTATAAATATACAATGATAGCCAGAAAACAGTGGAATAGGAACATTATAGAAATGTTGTTACAATTGCTGTGTCTTATGCTTATGAAGTTATAACTTAATTCTAAAAGTCGTCTTCCTGTTTCAGAGTTTTCTGTTTAACTATAGATATGGATATAATACAAATATTTGTTTACCTATCGGATCGTTAAAGTCTGAACTGATTAAGTATGCACTAAGGTTGCTGTTGAAGAAAAATATAAAAAACATAATGAATACTGCCCACCCAGATCCAACAAAAAATTTACCCGGACCTTCCACTTTCCTGAATACAAACTCATTTTTTAATATCTAAACACATTTTTAATTAGCTTTGCATGAAGAAAACAGGACTCTACTCTAATGATTTGTGTAAAATTCTATGAATTTTAAACAGGTTTTTGTCATAAAACTTTTGTTTCAATCGCAAAAGCCCTACTTGAAAAGCTTTCCTAAGTTTTAAACTTTTATATAGTAAAAATTTTTAAAACTTACCTGTAATTGCCGAAAATCATTCCATAAATGTAGAAAAGAGAGTTGTGCAAACCAAATAAAGATTCCTCATGGCTGCATGAAGTATCTTAATTTCTATTTAAAACCTTGATATCATAATGCAGAAATCATCGTAAATATAAATGAAACAAAGACGACTTTCTTTTTCAGTTTTGATTTAGACCAAATTTGTATGCAAAAAGACATTCAAAGAAAAAAAGATGTAAAGCAAAAGGAAAATATTCTTCAGTATTCAATTCAATTGTTAGTGTTTAATTAAATAAAATTAATGCTTTATTTCTAATTTTTAAGTACCACAGTTAAAGAAACAATTTGAAATAAGGTATAACAAACTTAACTTAGGCTTAACTAGGACTTAAAGGGAGTGTTTGCGAAAAATGAAAGGGGGTATAGGCTTAATGCGATAAAAAGTGCGTTTGATCGCTACTAATCTTACTTCCATCTGTTGCGTCTATAAGGAGAAAATTGGTAAAGACTAAAGATGTCTCATACCGAATAACTTAGCGACCATACTGTAATGATGTTATGATATTTGTTGATCTTTTACGATCAGCGGTTCAAGAGGTCTTAAGATCGTTGCGATCATTTTTTATAACGATCCTCTACTGATGGAAATATAAGCCTAGAGTGTATATATCAATGACAGTTGAAATAATGCTAAGTTTGCAGTTATTTTAAGACCAAGCGAAGCCAAGTTATAAATAGACCAAGCGACGCCATCCCTTATCTCAGGGCAGCGAAGTGCCAGGGGTATTGACCCGCCGAGTCAGGGAGCTAGGGATGGAACCCTGGCGGGAGACGGCTGGTCTAACAAATGCTATCAGAGACAGTTCGTTGTGAACCCTATCGATGTGCGGAGGCAAACTGGTTCAATAATTCTTCAACCATATTCTACCTCATTTTGCTACTCGATCGTATAGTATTTTTTGATTATATGTGTATAAAGTAAAAATAAAATGTAAACCGTCTCGTGGAATATTACTAGTATTGAGCAGTTGATTTTATGAATTTTGGCAAACTTAATAATACAAATTGAGAAAATTGCAACTTACGACTTAGACCGTAAAAAAATCAATTTAATTTCAAACAAATCATTCAGATATTACAACCTATAGTCATTGATTATCTTTCGCCTCGTTTGTATAAAGTTTATATTTTATAATATCTTTAAATTAATTTGTTCTGAATTTGATTATTTCTCTTGTCGCTTGCGCCACTATCTAAGAATGCCGCGCACCACTCACATTTTTCGAAATCAGTTAAAAACGTTTTCTAAAAAAATAAAATATTATAAAATATAAACTATACAAATGTGGCGAAAGATAATCGATGACTATAGGTTGTAATATCTAAGAATGCCGCGCACCACTCACATTTTTCGAAATCCGTTAAAAACGTTTTCTAAAAAAATAAAATATTATAAAATATAAACTATACAAATGTGGCGAAAGATAATCGATGACTATAGGTTGAAATATCTAAATAATTTGTTTAAAATTAAATTGATTTTTTTGCGGTCTAAGTTGTATCTTGCAATTTTCTGAATTTGTATGGGCGCTAAGTTATTCGGTATGAGACGTCTTTACCAATTTTCTCCTTATAGACTCAACAGATAGAAGTAAGATTAGTAGCGATCAAAATCGCTTTATTATCGCATTAAGCTTATACCCTATTTCATTTTTCGCGAACACTCCCATTAACTAGGGCTTAACTAGGGCTTTTATTCTCAAAATATTTTCATGATTTCCTCAATACTTGGAACAGATGGAAAAAAATGGAACTTCCTACAATTGCCACAAAAAGCCTGAAAAATATGTTTTACCATTAACACAGAAGAAAAGAAAACAGAATTTAAAAGATGTAAAAACGCTTACCCAGCCCAGATGTAGATAGTAAAGGGTTTAATAATATTAAAATATTTTGGTTTTACTTCTGGAACAGGACACATTAATACTAATTTCTCATCAGTAAAGGATCCCATCCTGAACCATCAGATTTATAAATTAGTTAAGATTGTACACTGAAAACTTTTAATCAATTGTGTATAAAATCTCGTCGTTTGTCGAGCTTCAAAAATGTTAAATTTTGGTAATCTCTACATTGTTTATCCTGCAGTAAAATTTCACAAGTTCCATCTGTAGAAAAATCAGTTTTCAAATCATAAACATTCTTTTAAGGGGTATCGTTGTGAATCGGACTCTTTAAATGAAGGATTACTTGAAATAACGCCTACAGACACCCTTGTATGGTTTAATACCACGGACCACCTAGTACACTACCTACAGTTCTACAGACCCCGTATGGTTAAATACCACCTAGTACACTACCTACCGTTCTACAGACCCCGTATGGTTAAATACTACCTAGTGCACTACCTACCGTCCTGCAGACCCCATATGGTTAAATACCACCTAGTGCACTACCTACCGTTCTACAGACCCCATATGGTTAAATACTACCTAGTTCACTACCTACCGTTCTACAGACCCCGTATGGTTAAATACTACCTAGTGCACTACCTACAGTCTTATATACCCCGCATGGCTAAATACCACCTAGTGCACTACCTACCGTCCTGCAGACCCCGTATGGTTAAATACCACCTAGTACACTACCTACCGTCCTATAGTCCCTGTATGGTTAAATACCACCTAGTGCAATACCTATCGTCCTGCAGACCCCATATGGTTAAATACCACCTAGTGTACTACCTACAGTCCTATAGACCCCGTATGGTTAAATACCACCTAGTGCACTACCTACCGTGCTACAGACCCCGTATGGTTAAATACCACCTAGTGCACTACCTACCGTCCTATGAAGACATTTTCATAAGTTCCGTCCAAAGACATTAATGATGTCATGAAGAATGGAACAAGCTCGACTTCCTTCACATTTTCAAAATTCACAGGTATTCTATAGATTATAGTAGAAACCAAGGGGTAAGGGGGG